AAGAGAGAAAGTTCAAATGGCCAATAGACATTTGAGAAAATGCTCAGCATCTCTAGTCATTAGGGAAATGCAAAGAAAAATCATGGTGAGCTTTCACCTCACTCCAGTTAGAATGGTTCTCCTACAGAAATCTACAAGTGACAAATTCTGGCAAGGTTGTGGGGAAGTTATACTGGTCCACTGTTGGTGAGAATGTGAACTGGTTCAGCCTTGTGGAAAACAGTATTGGAGATACTTGAGAAATCTGAATACCATATTAACCAGCCATTCCACTCCTGGGAATTTACTTAAACCAATAGAAATAAGTGTATGAAAGAGTTATCAGTACCCCCATGTTCATTGCAGTAAAACGCACAATACCTAAGATATGGAATCAACCAGGTGTCGTTAACTGTTGACTAGATAAAGAAATCATAGTATATATACACTATGGAATACTACACACCTGTAAAAAATTGAAATATTATATTTTGAAACACGATGGACACATTGGAAACCAATATACATAGTGAAATAAGCTAGTCCCAAAAATACAGATATCATATGTTTTCTCTGATTCAAGGTAACTAACAGAGTACCTGAAATATAATGTATTGGAGTGATATAAACATTTCAAGATTCAATGATTGTTTTTAGCCCTTGTCTCTTCCATCGAGGAACAGTGTGTTTTTGTTTGTTTGTTTTTTTTTTTTATTTCATATTATTTGTTGAACTCTTATAAGTGTAGGCTTAACTATCCGATCATTAAGTAAAGTGAAAATAGATCTTTGTAAAAATTAAGAGCGGGAATGTGAGAGGAGGAGGAGGAAGGATTGCAGCATGGGCGGGAGGTAGGTTAGGAGCAGAAGAGTCAATATTTTCCTAAATCTGTATATATGAAATACATGAGTTTTGTGTAACTGAAATAAAATTTTAAAGAAAGATGTTAAAGGAATCAGCATTAAATGACTTGTGAATTTAATCTTATTTTTATAACACCTAAAATAAAAGAAATATATCTTTCAGTATCTGGTTCACTTCTCAAATGATTGTAAGACTCACGGCTGGCCCATGCTGAAGCCAGGAGCCTGAAACTCCAAGATCATAAGTTAATTGGTCATTCACTTTTTTGTTTAAAAGCTGGAGATATTTATTTTTCTGAGACTGTTTATTTGAGCACATTTAATCTTCTGATTTCTAGGGAGGTGGTAACACTAAACAAGAATGGTTGAAATGACTCTGAACTGAACATTAAGTCAGTCCAATTTTCCTGAAATGAGCAGACACAGTTAGCCAGATTCTTGTCTTTTTCTGGAATAAAGCTCACTACTTTCACTATTACAGTGGCCATAACTGGAATTTCCAAGTTCCTATTCTAAACTTTCTTGAGCAATGAATCAGGGTGTACTTAGACATATGGCAGAGCATAATTAAATTATGTGTGAATTAGTCATTTTAAAAAATGGATATCATATAAATATTGATATAGTATTAACTTTGTTGATATTAAAACCATTACCACCACTATCCACTTTGTGTTTCTTAAAAATATTTTAAGGTTTTTTTTTTTTATATTTCCTATTATATGTAGCACTTGAAAGCTTGAAAGTTCTGCTTAAAAAGCACGGGAAGACATGGAGGCTTATGGAACAGATTTTCCAAGCAGCTTCAAGATAAGAATATAAGAAATTTTATCTTTCTATAGTTTATAATTTAAAATAAAACATATTCTTTTTTAAATTTGTTTCATTGGCTGTTTATTAGGCTTATATGTACTAGATTTGTTGATTATTTTATAAATTGGTGCTTCAAGAGCAAGTAAAAATGAGCAACTATATGCTCTCACAATCAAAGATTGGATATTAAACCAATCCACATTAATCATTTTAATCATTAATATAAACTCATACCATAGTTTTAGTTTAAATTACAAGAAAAAGACACAAAATACACACTTATAAAGACAATTTAATATACTCTACTTACCAATGATTTGGGGAATATGTTATTGTAGTGGTTTTACCAACTCCTATGTGTTTGTAAAGCTTCATAGTGTATGTAAATGAGTGCAATAAATGCCAACATTGCAAAAGCTTTCTCAATCGCAGTAAGAAATTATGTTCATTCCTTCCCTTTGAATGACAATTCTTCCTTCAGAATACAACTTAGAATATATTTTATGACCTCCACAACTGAATAGTTAAGGTTATATAAGAAAAAAGAATTGCTCATAATCAGCATAAACTTCACTATAACAATACAAAGAACTCTCAGAAGTAGTTCTAAAGCATCATTCTCTGTTCTTTCTGAATGTACAGTTATCCATAGCATTTTTGCATCCATGAGGTTTATTGGATGGGTTCAATGAGGAAAACACTTGCTCTGACTTGCAAGAAGTTGAAGCACTTATTTATTTCTGAATAAACACGGTGGAGATAGGCTAGAGTTTTTTACACTACAAATTTATGTTAAAATGAAGAAAATGCATTTGACCAATATTAATACATCTTATAAATTCTAAAACACAAAAATACACTTCTCATTTCATAGATGCTTGAAAAGAAAACCACACAGGTCAATCAGTCACACACACATATGTTGCACTGCAGTACTTGAAGTGAAATTTGAGCTGAATATAGTTAAACAGAATTGTCTACGATTCTAATTGTTCAATAAAATAGCATTAATTATTGTGTTAGCACATTCATGGCTCAGAATAATTTAGCTGCCCAAAAAGCACCTAGAAAATTTTGATTAACAAGAAAGCAGTCATGAGATGAGGAAAAGAAATGGTAAGCTAATGAAATGCATAGCTGGCAAACTGTATCAAAAACAACCTGTAGAAAGGAATATGTAGGGATAATATATGTAAACAATTTTAAAGAAAAACAATTATTAACCTTATTTTCCAATATTCTTTTTTATTTTCTTTAAATTTATTTAATGAATATAAATTTCCAAAGTACAGCTTATAGATTAAGGTGGCTCCCCCCCCATAACTTCCCTCCCACCCACAACCCTCCCCTTCCCTC